ACCCGAGCACTATAAAACCCACTCATGATCCAACGGAAATAATGGAGGCTTCGTCTCACAGTGATACCATTCCGCTGCTGAACCAGTTTTTCGAGTAGTTGGATGAGTTGACACTGAATGTTTTTTCTTCCGCCGAATTCCGCACGATGCCCCTAGGGTGACCGCTAAAATCTGATTATCACTGGTAGGGGTCTTACTTTCAAAAAAGACAACCGCGTCAACCCTTGCGGAAATTCAAATTCCAAAAGAACACATTAGTAATCACGTGCAGGACAATTTTTTGGTTAGTGCTGTTAATGGTCAGATAATGCGTGTACACAATTCGTCGTTCAGCTATAGAATTAGATTGGAAAAAATAGACGCGGTGACCAACTGTGGTCAATTATTAATTACTCTGATTCGTTCGCTAAGCTAGCTGTGGTGCCGCAGTCCACGTGATCGAAGGGCACATTGCTTGTAGAAAAACGCACATAAACCGCCCGCTACTGACGTCTACGGGGGAGTTCAGTGCTGTTTCATTTCAATCACCGGTCGATTGGAGACCCTTTGCTCCCTTGTCCCGCTAAGCGATTTATACTGTGAGAGTAAGGGGATTGCGCCACAGTAAAGTATATCCATCGATCCTTCTGACCCAGGTTATTATGCACATTCGCCCAGTTTTACGCAAATTCCTCATTGCAGGTAGTCATAAGTGCTCCAGTGTTGAATAACACTTCTATCCATGCTTATTCTCCAGTAGCGGGGCTTCAAAAAAATTTGAACCAGGGTGCGTTTGGGTGGATGTTTAGAAATCCTGCATTGAACTGACCGGTAAGATTCTCAGCCGGTCGGTGTGTCCTCGGGTTTTGACATTTGATGTAGCTTTATCGTAAACAACTAATTTCTGTAGAATGTACGGCACAACCGTGGTTTCCCGTGCGATTGCAGTGCAGTGGTGCCCTAGTGTTAGAGCTGATCGGTGTTTTCCTCAACGAAAAAAGACCAATCCTACAAACAGCCGCAGCGAACTGGAGGGCATTGCGTCATCCGTGTCTGAGGCAATGCGCGTCTTCATCGCATTGTTACCGAATCGAAACTCGGAGCTGTTTGACTGAAAAACGCTGATAGGACCACAGCAACCATAGCTGTGTGCACAGAAATCATATTGACCTGACACTTCTCCCCAAGTTGACCTGCACCCATCTATTGTCGCTCAACCATTCACGCTTGGGACTGAGAAAAGCAACTCAAAATGCGAACATCTCAGGACTTATGCCTTGTTGCAGCCCTGCAAATAGTCCCGAAAGTGAACATTACTAAATTAACCGAATTCGCAGAAAAACCTCATAAAGGCTGAATGTTCTTCTTAACTCAACCCTGTTTCTGAACGACAGTCCCACAGGTGAACAAAAGGACAAGCGGATGAATCACGAAATAAACTGAGCCTGATAACAGACATTCAAGCAATTTGGACATCCTTTAGCTTCGCCGACTTAATGAGGGTTGACGGGTTGCTCTTCAGAGTCCAACGTACTCCCTTGTATGTTGCATAGCCGTCTTGATCAACGCGCAGGTCGGGTTTGACTTGCTCAAATATCTTCTTCTTCGGATTAAGCTGACTGTCTGGGTTATCTGTAAGCGAAAAGAACACATACACACATAAGTCAAGTAGTTAGACAGGCTCGTGTGCTAGAGACGACGTACGGCCTAGTGCAGTGCTTAACGGGAGCGCACTGTGCTGCTTGGTTTATGAAACAGACGGGGTTGAAGCTACTGCCCAGGACAGGTTTCAGAACCCAAAAGTAGAGTATGAACATGCAGATAGCACGTACGTATACCACAAGCCCATGACATGTGTGCTCTAAAATGGAATAGTATTCAACCTTCAAGCAACTAGAACATATGTAACGTTCTCTAAACTGCATTCCTTTATTTTTCTCAGAAATTTACGGTTTGAATACAGATAAATGGTTAATTGGTTACGGCGATTCTGTATAAACTTACATATTCAACGTCGTAAAATACTCTGAGTTTAGAGCCGGAAGTCAAAGGTAGATAAAGTAATTTCGAACTGCAATACACCAGTAGTAAATTCGAAGGTATCTGAACCTTCGAACAGTATTGAAATGAACAGTTCCGAACATCCTGTTGGAAACACTATCAGCGTCCTTTATGAACCTCACCCAACATGAGCGACAGACTTACTTTAACTGAGTAGTCAAGCTGAGAAGTAACAGGACGCTAGATTCTTGGATCAGTTATGTGACGTACCCTGCAGAGGTTTCAACCATGTGCAAGAATCACACGGATCCTAGCTAGAAAGGTGCAAAGACCCTACGATGTTCAGCTTAGCAGTTATCACTTTCGTTTCGCAATGGCATATCATGACGTCTACCCGATGGACCTTTCGTCTACGAGAGCTTCAGGTGGCGAATAGTGCTTTCGTGGACAGGCATCTGCAACACAGCACCCACATTAGTCCAGCGATTCTGATTAACTGCCAAGCATCCGTTTAATTGGACATACTGCAACCAGTACTGCTATAGTAAGAATATATTGAAGGTCAGTTCCCGGAAGATCTCTGAAGTCTCAAACATAAGTAAAAGCTATCTCATGGTCCTCTAGTTTCACTGAGATATATTTATGATGCGAACATCGCGAGTTCATTGAGTTTTCTTGTATCAGTACAGTCGCGGCTGCTAAGATGTATGGACCAATTAGCAAACCTAAGCTTCTGAAGTTTCAATAGAATGCCAGATCAGTGGAAAAAATGGCATTTCCTGGTACTCTAGCTGGAATAGGAATCCTGATCACCAAACGATACCATCCGAATAATCCAAGCCCACATAACTTTTCCAGATTTTGTTTCGAAAACTAAGCTCAAGGTCCCTTGAGCAAAAGCTCGACATAGAGCGAAAGGATAACCTTAATGATCTCACCAACTGTGAGGAAACATTGGGATATTTCGAAGTGGCACCACGAACGAAAGCATGGGAACATCTACAAATTCGACGTGCACGTTCCCCCTTGCGAAGCCCACATAGAAGGACCAACCCATCAAAGTCGAAGGCAATTTTAGTCATTGGCATGCACCGCGCATTCCCTACCTGGTCGAAATGCTGCCTAGTGTTGTCCTACTAACAGCTCATGTTTTGTAACTACGTCACAGTTGGAATGAATATCGCTGGTTTGTGACCGCACGAGTCACTTGTGGTGTCTATTTTGAATGAATTACATGATGATTTGGCCTCGGCTGTCAAGAGTGTATTTTTGATCTTGGATCAGTTTAAACAGCCTATATGGGCCAAAGCAATTCTACACAGCACTGGTTGGAGCTACTCTGACCCTGAAGGCTGAAAAACATTCAGTGTATCAGGTATCAAGGCAATCATTTTCATAACAACATCATAGAAACTTACGTTCAAACCCAGGAACGACCACGGGGTCGCCAAGTTTCACATCTTCTGAACCGATTACTAGGGGTTCAACTACACCGGCTTCAGGAGCACTGGCGCACATGAGCATGGCCTCGGATTCTACTCCGCGCATTTTCGCCGGTTTCAAATTGCACATAAAGATCCCTATCCGATTTTGTAGTTCTTCCAATGGAACAAACTTGACCAAACCGCTAACGACGGTACGGAGCCGACCTTCACCTAGATCGACCTGTTTTTGTGGTGGTCGGAGAGTTAGATGATGAAATAACTTCGATAGTACAGATAGAAACACGGCTATGTAGAAATCAAATTGGAAACGAAACAAATCATTGTGCGCAGTTTAGCGTAACACTGGAAATGAACGGCGGAAATCATCACTCTGATGATGCCTTCAAAGCCGCATGAACTAAACAACATAGCAAAGAGTACAGATGGCCGTTGGACGAATCATCAAAGATGGACATGGTTCGAAGAATGCATAAAAACCTGGTTCACACCTGGGTGTCCGAGCTAGAATAGACATTCCTCGTGCAAAACGACTGTCCACGACTATATTTCCCATACATTCCTCATACTGACAAGCACAATTGCCTTGTATTTACAATGACCTTAAAAAACTGATAAATAACACATCTTCCACTATAGAGGCTCGAGAAAATCTCCCAAGAACAAGCAAATTGCTGATTTTATCAAATGTCGTGAATTCAAAACAACTGGTCGTTCTGAAGCACCTAAGTAGCTCAACGGAATACAATCTGCAAACGATGAATATATTGCGGTGCCTTTACAAAAATGGAGTAATGGTTGAAGGAGCGTGGCTCACAGCTTCCGAAATCTTCAGGATAGTTGACAGCTACGGGGATTCTGTTTGTTTGAACATGTCGCCTCCCACAACGCGAAAGTCGCCGATCCAGGAAAACCTGTGTAGTTTGACCGAAAATTATGCCTGGTCATTGAAGACCATATACGACGGTAGCTTCACTGTCTGTGTCCAATTGTGAAGCCGGTATCCTTCTTTTTTCTCGGTCTTACCCCGCATATACAGACTACTTCTCAAGCTTTATGAATTTGAATGGTCACCTAAACAGGTCGGCTGCCTTTTGGAAAAATGGTTTACGATCCATCAACAGCCATGGTATTTTGGAAAAGGCCAGTATCAATACTCATGCTCCGCTTAAAGTTCACTCAACGATTCCCTACACAGGCTTCTCTCAAAAATCGTTGGACGAATCTTACTTCTCCGGATATTATTCAAGGATATTATTCAGCTTATCTACAAACAGCCGCCACGATTCGAAATCAACATGGATTGCCCGTGCATATTTTTATAAAATCAGGACACACCTTGGGAAGTCTGTGACGTGCCACTTGTCCCCGTTGGGTTTTGGTGATGCTTACGAAGTTGCAAGCACTATGTGCACATCAGCTCAAAAGACATGCTTCGTAGCCGCACTCTTCAACAGCCGATACATTTGCACACCGTGCGTATTTCTGAGGTCACTGCGCAGACCACAGCAATATAAAGCCGTCAGTACACGTGACAGACGTGATTCAGGAGGCAATATTCCTAACCGACGCCAGCACAGGAGCATTAAGCGAACTTCCTGATTCTGAGAAATTCCATGGTAGAGTTGGATAAAGACTGTGCTCAAACGTTTCGTCTCAAGGAGAGCGAAACTGACATTCAGGTGAGAAGAGCAGTTTGGTGGCATACTGAAAGGCTAGACCGTTAGGTAGCGGCAGTTGATGTCCTCAAGATTTTTCAAAGATTCTACGCACCCGAAAGAGCTCCCAAATGTTCCTATATCGATAGGTCTTTGAGGCCGTTTTGAAATCAACGTTTTACCTAGGCTGCAAACTTGAGAGTAGAACACGATCCACTTGCTCGGCAGATAAATATATCAAGACGTTGATGTCGCCCTTAAGTCAAATATCGACCGCTTTAATATATATAATAATATATATATAATATCACACAAAAAAACACTGACTCGATCGAGGTTGGTAAACTTCCAAAAACCGAAGATTTCAGTGAGGTCGAGGAAAGTGTCTACTCTATAACAATGCTCAATGCAATTTTCAACTGGATGAAGTAGAATTAGGCATCGAGCTGGTGGCTGTGATGTCTCAGTTCTACCCTGATAGAAAAAGGTATTTCGTGTGAGATACAGTGAATTTCGCCCCGCGAGAAACCGGAAAATTTCACTGAGGTTTGCTTTCGGGAACGGCGATCTCCCCACCCCGGCACCTGGCTCGCAAAACTTGGCTGTCTGTAACTGTCTTCAGGAGTTTTTGCCGAAGTATAATGGAACCACTAATGCGAGTGGAGGACACTCTAGAACTCTGACACCTCGCGTAAATCTGGTTCAATAGCGCACAGCGCACCTATGGATTCTACCGTGGAATAAAACAGCCAATCTTTGAACCGGATAATGTTTCTTGCAGGATTCCTGGCGACTGTTTGTTCGAATGAATCGTAATAAAGGAAAGTTCGTGCTATTGGCACACTTTTCGTGGCGCGAGATGTGATTGCTTTGCTAGGTAAGTTGAACATTTCGCATCGCACAAAAACTAATTCCTCACTGAACGAGCAACACACATTGCAGCGAGCGGCGCTTCTCTATGCTAACAAGGGATGGAGCAGTAGGGTGCCTCCATTATGACCACTTATAATCGATGATGTGGTGCTTACCTTCTCAACATACAAAGAGTCAGCATCTGGATGACGAGAAACCTCGACGATGCGACCAATGCGCATATCCAGTCGACCGACATCCACCGCTGCTTCTCCAGCTGTTGCTAATCCACTCGCCTTCCCCACAGTTTTGGTGCTTCCAGCTGACTTGGACGCCCCAGGAGAATCCGAGGCTGCTTTGACATTGTTTGACTCCACAGTCTTTGAGGCTGAGGGAAGAAGAGTAACCGACAGCTAAACACTCAAAATATGCCATGAGAGCCGAAGTTCGAAGTGGACAGAGGGGCAACATCACCAAGAAGTGCCAAGCCATCTGGAAGAGTAGTGGTCGCGCCTACAGCAGAAGAGCCACCACTCGGTCTGAGGTTGACCTACATGGTGGTTTAATAATCATACCGTATGACCAAGCAAGGTGTTGTAAAAAAGTTTGCGTATTGATGGTAAAGTATGTCTTCCAGGATGGGTTCCCCATGGTCCCACCTGCGCTTGGCTGTAGATGTTGCAAGATATGCAAGATATGGAACGGCGTGCGTCTAGGTTGTCTGAGCGCGCGCTGGAGGTGTGGGCAGTTCATAATTATCGTAGAGCTCTGGCATCAAGCTCCTTCCCTGTGTAATATCTCTGTGTTCCATCTCGGTACTTCAAAAAATGGTAAGATTAGTGGTTATACGGTACGCACACTGATGTTGCCGCCAATGATGGGCTTGAGGATGATTATGAATGCATGAACAAATAGCATTCGGGCTACCTGAAGCCATTGGAATATGTACGCTTAAACAGTCGAAAAAAAAGTTATTGGACGTGAACAGTGTAAAACCCAGGATGACATATCGTTACAGTATTACTAGCAAACAATACCTGTAGTTTTATCGGCCAGAGGTTCAGGGTGAGCAGAAGCAGATGACACAGGTGTGCTGGAAACGGCAGCCGCTGAGTGTGTGCGGAGTGCTGGTGTTTGGTATTGGTAAACTAATGTATAAATTTAAGTTGAAGTGAGAAACCTACTTCCAAACAAAAGTTCAGCCATACAAAGCTTGTATTTTAACTCCTCAACTTTGGATTCCAATGCTTGATTCTCTTGTTGCAAAACATCTTCTGCAAAGCTTATGTATTCAGGTGAAGCCAACGCTCGCAGGCTCCTTATCTTCGATTGAATCGACTCAATTTTGGAAGCTAATTTCATTATGCTGAAGAGAAGAAACGGAGAAAACAAATAATGGTTAGTTATATTCGACACATGGAGGAAACCAAGTGGATAGCAGTAACCGTGTGAAATTCCATTCGACGAACCTGGATTGCGTAATGCTTGGTTCTTCTAACTTACCACAAAAGGAGTGATAAATCAGCCTGCGACGAATGTCACGATAAAGGACAACTAGATGAGGCAGTGGTATCTACGGCGTGGGTTATACTCGGATCAAAAAAGTTGAAAACGCTCAGTTGGATTGATTCCAAGTACATAGTCACGATAGCGGTGTACAGATCTCCAGACCAATTAACGCCACAGCAACCGAAGTAGCTAAATGGTGTTTGTCCTGTCAGCATACACCAAGACAGACTGTAGCACCGAATATAAAGAGAGCTCCTATCAAGATCTGTTAGGACCGTTTTGGTGATAAGGGCATCCAAATTGAGAAAAAAACAGAATGAGCGCAGTTTGGTAGCAGATTCGAAGTCGATGCTCTCCATACAGACAATAGGGCCTGGATTTTTCGCTTGTGCGCTGAGTAGTCTGTACCTAACAGGCGGGAACACTGCATGCAAGCTCTCGCGTCATGCCACACGGAAAACAGCAACTAAAAAAACAGCCTGACTCCGCTGAATCACATAGCTATTCTTACAGGGGAGTTAGAGACTACGATCCTACTAAGGTACGAAATTTTATTCTAATCATGCCCATATGTGGAACAGCTTATCAATTTAATTCCCCTCAAGATCACGCCAGCCGAAGTAATAGTCAGTTTAGCTTCAACGGGTCTCTCTAGCTCAGTCAAGCCGAGATAATCTAATTAGAAGGCTACCGGGTACGAACAAACACATTGATGATACAAATGGAAGAATGTGAAAAAGGCTCACTTCTCAACTTTACGCTGTCCGCTTCCACCAAATGAACACTGGATAAAATCAAGGTTAGTGGCTTGAAAAAATCTGAGCAACCGGTAGCCCAGATGGAGCGCACGTATTGTTCAAACATCAGGTAAGCAAGAGCCTAAAGAATGACACAGAGCTTCGCTGGGCCATGAAAGCAAGCGTTAAGAAAAACCGTATTTCCCATTTTTCCGCCAGACTATTAGGAAAACCACCCGTGGACTCGTTTCACATTTTCTCGTGCTCCATTCCACCATAAACTTAAACAGGGCTGACTTAGTTCCACATGTACAACCACTGATCTCATCATCATCATCATCGACAGCATGACATCAGTGTTCTACACCGATGCTTCACTGCCGTACAACCATGACTTATTTGAAAGCCTTATTGTAAAGAAAAGAATAAAGGTGGATGGGTGAGGGACTTAGTGCTAGCTTAACACAATCATTCCGAGGTGCCTACACCTCCAGACATTCACTCAGGCAATCTGGACAGAAACTGACAACAAGAA